AAATACCAAATATAGAAGACACGAACGCTTTCATGTAATTCATTTTTTTCATTGTTTTCATCAAATTTTATTTTGTAGCACAGAACTGCTGTATTCCAAAATAGTGCGATGGGGACGATCCAAACAAGTGCTATATATATCGACGTCCAACAACTTGAGATGTTTTTATCTTCAAAATTGATGTTAAACCAGTTGTCCACTCTGTGACGGTCTTCTTTTTCCATTACATAATAAGCGTACATACAAGAGAGTAATATCGCGCTAATAATATGGTATAACAGAAAACCGGCGAATAACACACATATGATAATTTTTCCAGAACTATAATTAAATAAATTTGAATCTATCAATTTGACAAATAGAAGCGATAGTAGTGTGATCATCACTGGGCACAAGAAAATCGACTTTAAAATATCGCCAAAGGCAAAGTAATGATTATCCACTACAAAGTTGATCTTCTTTGGATTAACAAGACACTTCAAATTGATGGTAAACCCACATGATACCATACAGAGGGTGTAATGTGCTATTATTGGAAGCAAAACATACCCCAAACTGATTTTTCCAAACGAAAAAATGATAAATAAAATTGAACTCATGAACATAATAATAGGAAGGAAAAATGTCGAGTTAATACGTGGGAAATTGGAAACAAATGCACTAAACATCCAGTAAAACGGTATTGGAAGGTCTTGAATAGCAAAAGTATCCATTATGAATATCTGTGTATAAAATCGTGTTATTGTAAGCCAATAAGTTCCAATTAGAAAATCAAGGAAAAATGGAACTATTAATAGAGAAACATAGCCAGGATCGGCTTTAATAGTTTTATCGAGAGAAAGGGGGTATAAAATTGAAAATAATATCAAACATCCAAATGTGAAAATTGAGACAAAGTGATTCGTAAAAAGAAAAATAAACACAGCAGAGAGTTGAGATTTAAATCTGAAGTCCCAAGTGTCGTTTTTATATAAATTACGAGTGTTGGAATATGTTTTACAATTACTTTCTTTTTGCATTTGAGTGTAATACTCACTTTTTGATGAACATTTGAATTTTGATATATTCGAATAAATCTCGTCGTCATCAACTAAATTCGATAACTCGGAACACGTTTCTGTTATACGTAGAAACGTTTGAATGTCGCACTTCATACATATCTTTTTCATAACATTTATTGACAGTTTGGGGATCGACATCTATTACTTGTTTTTAAAATGATATATAAAGTGTCGTTTTTATACAAAGACTAATCAATTATTATATTCATAAAATGTTTATATCCGTCATATTGGTTAGTATCTAAGGATATTTACTCAATTTCAATTCACAAAGTGATGATTAAAATTAAAAATCGACAAAAGTGTTTTATTAGTTATTTAAATAATTATACTATTAAAGTTCACATTAATATTAAATACAAATGTTTTATACAAATATTAATTAGTATATATTTTAGTAAAAAATATAGTTGTAATTAAACATACCAACTATAAAGTATAGTATTTATAAACAATAAAAAAGTTGACAAAATAAATGCTATTTGCCCGTTTTTAACTAAAAAACATACTATAATATGTTTTTTTAATTTTTTACAACTAAAAACCACCCGAAAATAGTCGTAAACTTGTTATTTTAGTTTAAAAGCTATTATTGCTTTTAACAACAATTTCTCACCATTACATATAATTTATTAATACATTTTATGATAATGTCTAACTTCTTGTCAGGTATATCGGCCGTTTAATTAATTGTCTGTGACGAATCCTGACACATTAATGAATGTAATAAGACTATTTTAATTTTTTATTGATATAAGTGTCTTAATTGTATAAAAAATAATTATGTTATATAACGGAATTGAAACATTGTAACTTAATGTGAAAATTAAATTATTCAATTTAATTTTAAATAATATAATTGTCGAGTATACGAGATATGTATGTTCAAATACATAAATTATAAAAAATAATTCACTTTTAGAATATATCTGTGTTTTTTAAATTTTATTTTAATATAAAATAAAATTTGTCTAAAAATTTTAATTAAAAAACAACAAAACTATAATATCATATTATAATTGTTTTACTACTTAAAATACCATTTGTTATTTTTTTAAAAAAACTATTTTTTATATTTTTCAAAAATATAATTGTAATAAACACAAAATTTGTGTATCAGAACCAACAAACTAAATTATTATACACCTCTTTTTCTTTGTAATTATTTGGTGAATCTCACAAGTTAAATAATTCAGTACGAGATCTAAAACAATTTCTTTTACGTCATTTTTTGTAATTGTAAATTCATGAAAACTTGTTCCATATTTTTTTGCTTCTTTTTGTCCCGTCGTGTTTTTAACTACTCTTTTGCTCTCTTCGCATCTGACTCCACAAAGAGCAACGACTTTATTGTAATTGTTGTTTTGAGTTTTGTTAAATATTTTCGACATAAACATTTGCGCGTCATTAAAAGAGTCCAATGAGTCGATTTTGTACATGACAACAATACAATTGCAAACATCAATAAATAATTCTGGAAATTTGGTAATATAAATATATTCGTTGATATCATAAAAATTAATTATTAAATTTGTTCTATCAACACACAACCGCACACGGTAGTCATCATTTGAATTAATGGGATATGAATATTTACAAACTTCATTTGTGAAAGTTCGAATGAAACTTGATTTCCCAATTTCTGGACTTCCAAAAACAGTTGCTTCGATCTGTTGAAGTGTCATTACTTTACAAATTAATAGATTGGATATTTACAATAAAACAATTTATAATTATTAAGTTATAATAATATAGATAATAACACAAAACAATAAATAAACATTAATTTTAAATTATTTTTTTCAATAAAAATAATACATATCAGTACTAAACTTATTATAAGTCATTTAAAACCCTTTCAACTCGTCATTTATATGGTTAAAACACCAAAATATTATACATTTGGTAACTAAGTTTGTGTATAACGATTGTAAGCAAACTATCACAACTTGTTATGCAAATTAACCTTCTAATAACATTTTTTGGTTTTACACGAAGAAGGATTTGTTATGATTACATTTGAACTTGTTCAAAACGAAAAATTAATGATAATAAGTTTTTTCCCAAAACTTTATTTTGGACAAATACACAATATCAATTTATGCCTTTTGTAAATTTTATAAATTAGATTTTGGATATAGTATAATTTCTATTGTCATATTAAATGTTAACAAGCTGATTAACAATGAAAATAAATACACATAAGACTGTATATCTTATACTTTTGTATGTTTAATATTTGATAAAACCCAACGATAATAAAACATTTTTTATCATCTATGTACATAAATATTTTTTTTGATCTCACCTCATTATTGCAATATTAAATATTAGTGCTTTAAAATGTATTTAAATATACACCAACTAATATATGGTTTATTATTTTTTCATTATAAGTTAATAAAAGAATGTACTTATTTAGAATGAAAAAACGATGATTAAAATGTACCTCCTAACACTTTAAGATGAGACAATAAAACTTTAGGTAATTATTTTAAACAGACACGACATTAAACTTGAATACAGTTTGTGGCGAAAAGTCTTGTTCAAAAAGCAAGTATTTTTTGGTTATTAAATTAAATAATTAATTATATTATTATTTTTTTATTATTAAATAAACAACAAAAACAACAAAACGTGTCTATTTGTGATTATTTATTGTTGTACACCTAACCATTTTTTGTAATGTACGAATTAAAAACCTGTTTATATACATACTATATTATTGTTAAACTTTTTTGATAATTCTTAAATCCAAAACAAATTAATTAATTTTTTAACGGGTTTCGATTAATAGCCAATTATAACTGTATATTTCATTTGCTTTAATATTACAAGTTGTATAAATTTATAAACGAAATAATGATATTAATAAAAATTTTAGTAAAAACATTTAATTTAAAAACCTTTTTTCAATATTTCTTCGATTATATTTTTATATCAATAAATACGTGTTATTGCTTAATCATCACATTGGTTATGGTTAGATATATTTTCTTCTTTTCCCAATCATTTATAACAAATAAACAATAACCATATATCAAATAAAGTGTTATAATATCCAACCAAACAACAATTCCTTATTATCGAAGAATTGTTCAACATATGATATTTATTTTTTATATTTATAAAAATTCAAAAAATATTATTATTCTTTCACCAATTCAATTTAATATTTAAATTTATTGTTATTAAAATGGGTTAAATTACAAAATAATTTGTAATGATGTTTTAGAATAATATATCCGTCACTTTTTATCTTTTACCAAATAAAAAGTAATAACTCAGTGCTTATTTCATTTATTGTTTCATGGTCAATACAGGTAACATTGTTTCGTGTGTTTTATTTGTTGTAATTGGGGTTGTTGAAAGTGTTTGTTTTTTAATAACAAAAAAACATAGAAAATTTCAAATTGTCAAATACGATTTAAATATATTTATATTGATAAATTCGAAGGTAAACGTTGAAATTAGTAATACACAATAATAATAATAATAATAATAATAATAATAATAATAATAATAATAATAATAATAATAATAATAATAATAATAATAATAATAATAATAATAATAATAATAATAATAATAATAATAATAATAATAATAATAATAATACCTGTGATTTAAAATGTTTTGAGTATATAAGAAATTAACATTAAGATTGTGTTTTTGATGTTTATAAGTCAATTTGTAAAGTTGTTATTTGAATCGTTCAAAATAAATATGAATTGTTTCCAAAAATACAATTTTATTTTCTCGTTTATATTTATATTATTTGGAGTGTATCCAATGATTCATATAGTTTTTGCAGTGTTAAATGTGTTGAACAAATTGACTTTTGAAAAAACACTTGTTGGACTTATACTTTCAATTGTCAACTGTGTATTGTTTCCATTGATATTTTACTGTAATAAAATGATGCCAAACACTTTTTGTTATTCAAGTGAGTACAACGACTACACTTTTGTTGTCCAATACATATTTTTTGTTGTTTTCGAAGTTATTGCAATTGTTTCGACACTTATTAATGTGATTACTGTTTGTGTCACTTTTTGTTGAAAAAGCATAACAACGAAAAAAATAAATCATATTATGTTGAAATAATACATTTTTTGTTCGAAACTTTATTTGTAATTTTCAATAACAAATATATAACTGAAAAAATTAAAATGGGTTTTAAATAAATACAAATAAATTATATCATATTCTAATTAAATTTAAAAATACCCAAAAAGTCTTGCACAATGCAATTTTACATATTAAACATAATGTTCAAATTGTCATATATGATTGTAATATATAAAAATAGACAACATTTCTTATCAATATAAAACAAAATAAAGTTTAAATGAAATAAAAGGAAAAGCAGTACAACCATAGCGATTAAAATGAATATCTTGTCAACACCATTTTTGTTTTGTGGTGCGGTGCATTTTTCACATTCAGTTGTATTGCAAGGAGTTAGGTAATTGTTTTTGCATTTGTTGCATATATCATTTTCTTCAAAGTAGTGATCAGGACATTCATTATAACATTTTCCTTCTACTTTAAATTTGAAGTTTTCATTACACTCATCACACACGTCCAACGCTTGACATTTATTGCACTTATCGTCACATTTCAAGCACTTTTGGTTATCTGCGAAATATCCAGTTGGGCAATCATTCGAACACTTTTTTTTGTTAAATTCCAAATTCATAATTTCACTGCACATATCACACGTTTCACCATCACTACATCTCTTGCATCCATTCACACTGCATTTCTGACAATTTCCAGCTTCTCCATAGTACCCATCTCCACACGCTCCACTTTTAGAAGTGCATATTGGAGGTGTTCCACTCAACTCAAAGTTGTCAATACATTTACCGCATTCATTATTGTTATTACACTCCAAGCAATTTGCAGTAGTGCATTTATTGCAATAAGTCGCCATGGCGTAAGTGCCCGAAGGACACGTTGCGTAACATTTTTCTTGTCTACTTGGAGCTTAGCTTCGCCAGCACATAAAGAACAGTAAATGTTATCAGTACATGTTTGGCAATTAGAAATGCACATAATAAACTGTATTTCAAAACTCTGTACCGTTTCCAAAATTTATATAAACCCTTTGTCCTAATTTCCCGTTATTTACTGTTTTTTATCTGTTTTATTTTTTATTTTCCTGTTTGTTGAAACAACAACGGTACACAGTTTAAAACCCTTAAAAAACAATACAATTTCAATTATTAAACAAAAAATCGGGAAATTACCCAAATATTGGGTAAATCTTTCCCGAATTTTCAGGTTCGTTATTTGGTCAGTGGTTTATTTTGTAACTAAACGTGAGTAAAACAACATATTTCTAACAAACATAAGATAAACGTAATATAATGATAAACAAACAATGTGACGGACGACATTATTGCATCAAATGATACAACACTTTAGTTAATAATAAGTTTTTGTTTATTTCAACAATTAAAAAGTCATCGATAACATAAAACAAACATTTAAACAATCAAGGTTATTAATAAAAAGAGTCTAAAATAAAATAAACAGTTCAAAAATAAAAATATAACTTTTCAATTGTATAGCCTTAACCTATTAATCTTCTCTCAATACTTGTTTTATTCATTAGTACTTTTATTTTTTTTATAAGAAACACAACTTGGTGATTCTGTAAACATGGACATTTAATTATAAAGTTGTGTTTTCGTTTTTTGGCAAAAATTGTGTTATGGAAATCAAAATTTTAATACGAAGTTTATTATTATATTTTTCAAGTAAATTTTTGGTGAATAATTTATTTGTCAAGTAAAATTAAAAAATTCATGTTCGTTATCTTGTTTTTTGAGTAAATATTTATAACAAAAAATGAGGGTTAAGAAAAGAAAAAATTATTTAGAAATTATTTGTCTAAAAAATCGGGGCATCCCAGTACAGAGTTTTTAAAAACAGTTTACAAAATAGTTTCCTAAAATATAAACAATCAGTGTTGTCCCAATCCATTGAAGGGTTGTCAACAACTTGATTTAGGTTTATTCCTTTATCCTATAAATACTTTTTATTTTTCTTTTGTATTTCTTCAAACACACTATAGTTGCTTGATACAATTTTATCACCCACTGGGAAATCAATTGTCGTTTTTGGGGGGTTATTATCGGAAAAGTTTACCAATTTTCTATAATCCTTCTGATTTTTTCTTTTTTAGATTTATCTAAATATTTGTCGAGCTCAGGTATAAAGAAAAAAATGCTATTTCATATCGTGTTTCTTTTTTATCGTTTCTCTGAATCTCTTAAGTATCCCATATTGAGCATTTTTTTCCATTCTTTGCCAAATAAAATTTCTGAACCTTAAAAAGAATAATGAAAAGTTAAAATGGTAGACACTGTCAATGGTGTCGGATGCACTGATGGAGCTAGAGGAGTCAAATATAAACACTGGGATGATATTGTTGATATGACAGTCGTTTTACCAATAGATACGTAAAATGGAAATCTGAAAATAGCACGAGACTTTTCTATTGGGGAAATCCATGTTTGTGTTTCATCATATCTTATAACTATCCAAATTTTATCAATATTCCCCAAACACGACAATAATTTTGTGTCGTGTTTGTCAATAATTTGTTATTAGCAGTGTTCATTATTTTAAACAAAGGTAATATTTCCAATGATTTACTACATGAATTAAAACATGTTTTACATAAAGTCGCCAAACAACAATATTTTTCTTCCTTTTCTACACACTTTTTTAATATGACACGTTTTGATGGTGATACTTGGTACATTTTTGTTATTTTTTTAAAATATTTTTAAAAAAATATTATTTTAAATGTATCATATAACTCTGGAATGGATTTTTATTAATCAGAAAAATGAAATTTATTTAATAAACAACACAGGTGTACTTTTTACTACAAATATCATTAGGACCATTGTTGTTGTGGCAACAATCCAAAACAATGTAATTGACTGAATTTATTATTCCATATTTGTTTAATACACTTTCTGTTTTAATTTTATGTTATCCGAAGTTTGGAAAACATTAAAAACATCAACTTCTAATACAAATTATTTAGGAACATTTTTTGTTAATAAAATCCAAAGTTATTGTGTTGTGACTATTACCTAATTTGTACATTATATCAGTTGAAACATTTCCATTATTGCATTTTACTTTTCATTTAATTATATTTAACGTAACCACACATTTTATCATTATAAACTCTATTTAAAAATGATTTCCGAAATGTTGTTTATATACACAGTTTAATGGTTAAGTAGAATATAATTATCAATTAAAGTTATAATGAGTTTGTTCTTTGTCACAAAAAAATAACACCAAAGACAAAAAACTAAAATAAAAGTGTGTTAATTTTTATACTTTTTTGTTAAAAAAAATTAGGTACTTCAAAATCGTTAATTTTTCTATCACTCAATTGTTCTGAATGCAAAGAAACTAAATATGTCTTCATTGATAATGTACTTACTCCTAAAAAATATTTTTTAAACAAAAACAACAAAATACATTTATTTAACAATTTGTTTAAATTTTTGTATTTTTCGCACAAGTTACAAATTGTTAAAATGATAACATCATATTAAGTTTTGTCTGATATTTGTTTAAATTTTTTGAATATTATTCAAACAAAATTAAATGTCTCCAACTTTTCAACAACATCGATAATTGATGGCCTCTTTATTGGATCATCATCCCAACACCGTGAAATGATGTTGTACTCATTTTGTGTTATGATTTCCTTATTTGGAAGACCTTTTCCAGAAATAACAAATTCGGCAATTTTCCATAGAAATTTGAAATCTACTTTATTATAAGGGTTTTCCCACCCAAATGTTTCATACATGGTGACACCAAACGAATAAATATATGATGACATTTTGTACTTCTCCTTTTTCAACACTTTGGGTGCCATATACACAGGTGTACCAATACCCTTTGTGAATGTCATGTTCGTCATCAATAAATTGACATTTCTTCTTGATCCAAAATCAGTCAACTTCGCATTCACTTTTTCATTTGTATCAAGTGAAAAAACAAGAATGTTATCTGGCTTGATATCTCTGTGTAATATGTTATTTGAATGTAAATATTGAATTCCTTTTGATGCGTCTAACATCAATTTCACTCGAAATTTCATATTAACTTCTTCACTTGTTTTGTGTTTCATCAAGTCTTGTAAACTTCCAAATTCAGCAAATTCAGTGACCATACATATCTTAGATGGAATAAAGACCGCGCCATAGAAATGGACGATATACTCACTTCGGAATTTGTCTAACATTGACACTTCTTTTGTAAATTCATCCATTAATTGTTTCGTCTCAGAAAATTCCTTCATCTTTTTAATAGCAACAACATGTCATCGAAAATTTCCTTTGTAAACAATTCCAAAAGAGCCTTCACCAAGTTTCTTTTCTTCTTTAAGTTCGTCTGGGTCTAAACGCGTCGATATTTCAGTCTTCCCACTAATTCCAATCGAAACTTCGGAAGTCTCCCCTTTCTTTAAATTTGCAGAGAACAAAGAGATTGTATCTTCTATTTGTGTTGAACAATTCACCAACAAAAAGACTTCAAATTCACACGCTTTTCCTTTTGGAATTGAAACGACTTTTGGCTCACTTCTGAATGAATATTTATAGTTGTCTCCTTTTGAAGAAAACTGAACTTTGATAATGTTTTTGGAATTGTTGCCAATACATATCAATTCACGCGATTCCTCCCCAACTTTAAGATCACCATAATCCGCACTCTCAAAAGTTATTTTATTGGTATTGACTACAACGTTTTTATTTGTCGTTTTGATAAATTTGATGTTTGATTTGCTCATTTCAAACAGACACGTCTCCTTTTGTGCTTTCTTCCTCCTTTTGTGTTCAATCACTTTGAAAGTGATTATTATACACATTATTATAAATAACAAGATTACAATAACTACGAAAAAAAACACATACGAATATGACCCACCAGACGGCTTGCGTTTGGCATGACGTACCAGAGCCATTGGGAATATGCCAGAATGTGCATTTAGAGCACTTCGATTGTGTGACTTCAATACAATCAGATATTTTGTCAATCGAAGTACAAACATCTGATAATAAGACGAAGTTGTCTGTACATGATGTACATATTCCATATTGTGTACATTCAGTACAATTCGTTGTTTTTGAATCACATTTCACACACATCTGATTTAAAATGAAATACCCTTTCGAACACGACGCACATCCACTCATAGTTTTTATGTCGCAGTTATCCAAGTAGTCATATGAAAGACATTTTGTAGAATCAGTCAACAAAAAGTTGTGTTGTATACATTGTAAACATGTCGATTTCTGATTACATATGGTACAATTCTCAATACAACTCTCACACTTTCCATCTGCATCTCTGAAGTAATTGATGTGACATATTGCACATATAGAACGCGTCTGCATGAGCTTTTTGCAGTTGTTTGTGACTTCAGATATTTCTCCACATGTCCCATTTTCAAGTAAAAAGTAGTTGTCTTTGCAAAGGAGGCACTCATCAGAATTATAACAATCGACACATTTGTCTGAACATTTAAAACACTTGTTGTCCAATACAAAATAACCGGTTTCACAACGACAACACCTGTCGCCTTCTTGTGTTAATTTAATACATTTGTCACTTTGTGTAGTGTTGAGTTCACACACCCTTGCAGGCGTATTAAAATATCCATCGACACAAACTGGACATTTCCCATTTTTGAATGAAATTGCACAGTTGGTGTTGGGTTCGCAAAGGCCACTTGTATTCACAGTATAATTTTTGTGCTCACACGAAGTACAATACGTGTTTTGGGTTTCAGAACATGAAGTCTCTGATAAAACTTCACACTGCCCAGTCACTCTATTCATAACTCCAATTTGTGAACACTTCAAACATTTGTCAAAATCGCACAGATCACACAATTCACCAAATGTAGTTGAACACCCTTTACATGAATTACTCGATGGATCTTTGTAATAACTTGTTTCACAATACAAAATAGTCGATGTCGTCGCAAGTGAAACATTGTTTTGGACTTCACATATGACAGATTCGCCTTTATCGATTAAAAAGCTTATTGTATTACATATTTGACATGTTAATGAATCTTTGCATTGAATACAATTGTCTGAACATTTGAGACATGTTGTAGATGATGTGTAATACCCTTCTGAACACTTTCTTGCATTTTGCAACCAATAGAGTTGAACACTTCCCGTTGAATTATCAAGTGGTAGACAGACACCATTGTCATCATAATAATAGTTTTGTTCACAAGAAATGCATTTTCCATCAACTCAATGAAGACACTTGTCAGGACATTGATAACATTCGTATCTTTTAGCTTCATATTTTGGAAGACATTCTTCACATAAAGAATAATGCAATGTTTGATATGTTCTATTACTTATGGTTGATATAACATTGCATTTATTTTCATATAAATAACATCCATTTTTACAAGAAAGACACATCGAATTTTGTGTTGAGTCTGCATTCCCTTCAAAAGCAACGCAGTTGTATTTTGTATCACTTGTCACTGCAAAACTCGACGATTTCTTCATACTTTTTGTTGTTGAACTTTGAAAGCCAAAATTGTTTCCCATAAACAACTTTTTTGTTTGATCTTCTAAAGTGAACACTACACCATCTATTTGAATTTTCTTCGATATAAATAACACTTTCATTCACTTCTTTAAATTGAGTCAAATAATTGATGCTTTTAGTAAATTTCAGAGTGGAATTGTTTTGTTGTGTAAAATGACCATTGAAGTTTACTGTTTGTGCCAAGTTGTTGGTTTTCAACAGAATCATTGCGTTCTCCGTGTTAATTGGACAATGAAGGACATTTTCTTCGTAACTTAAATGATTGTTCATATCATTTCCTGTGAAATTGCATTGTGTGTTTTCATTGAGTAAATTTCCTTCTTGACAAATCCGATATAATTTCTCACCAATAAGTTTTGAATTTGGAGTGAAAGCATCAAATTGATGAAGGGATTCAAAAGATATCAATTCGATGCAATAATTTAATGAAGTGGTCTTATCATATTCAATAGTCATTGCATTGTTGTTGTTTTGAAAGTTTGCATCGGTTTCGATCATAATTATTCCATTTCTATTTGTGTTGTTTTGTGGATTGTGGAAAACAATTCTGACAACTTTATCAATCAACAGAGTTGTAAATTGTTGAAATATGATATGCGTATTTTGGTTGAACTCCAACATATTTTTTATATGAAAAACAGTGTTAATAGTATTAAAAACGACATCACTTTGGATGTTGGCGTTTCGTGTTTCAAGGACATGACTTCCTGTGATTGTATTTCTTTGATTGAAAAAGTTGATTTGTTGCCAACTTTGATTTGCAGCCACGTTGTAGTTGGTGGAGTCAATTTGAAGTATCAAATTGCTCTGTAAAGAATACTCCAAACAGTCTCCTTTGTTCAAAAACGCGTCTGATGGATCCCAAATGCCATTGGTGTAATTGCAATAACACATATACCCATTTAACAGTGATTCAACATAAAACGCTCTACGTCCACAAGACGATAATATACCATCACCTGTCAGTTTTTTATCAACAGAAAATAAGATTTTATTGATAAAATCTTTGTTGTGATTAACTGTTTGTATATTGACGCCTTCTTTGAAGTAATAATCACCAATGGAAGTTATCGTCAAATTATTAATAAAAACTTCAATCAAGAATTCAACTTTAATATTTTCCTTCATTTCAAAATGTGTGAAAGTCATAGAAGTGGTTTTATCGTTGAATGGCGTTAAAATGTATTTCTTATTTGTGTCAAATAAAACTGAATAAAACGAGGAAAGTTGAACTTCAATTGTGACTTCATTGTCAACATCATCAGTTAAATCCAAATCGTATAAAGAATGGTTATATCGGCAATCGGGATAATTCCAGTCATAAGTTTCAAGAAGTTGGTGTGTTGTACTTTTACAAGTACACGCCGTGTTACAAAGATCTGTAATTAAGACAATCAAAATTTAATAATATTTGACATTTATAATAACATTTATTTGTATATTGTCGTATATCAATAAGTTGTGTTTTTATACGTTTTGGTTATAATAATGGCTATGTTATGTAATTATTAAAAATGCATTAACTTTGTTATATGAATATTTGCAAATAAATTTTCATAACAGTCAACACCATCACAACATTTTTAAAAATAATATTTGAAATAATAAAAATTAAACAACAAAAAAACAAAACAGAAAATAAAATGTTTTTTACATTTTTTATTTTTTTAGTTTGTTACAGTAGGAGAAATGAACTAGGACCATTAGAACAATTAGGGCGACTTTAGTAAAAAATGTGAAACGGTAAAAAATACATTTTTGGGACAAAACCCTTTATCGACAATAACATTATTTAAATAACAAAAATTCAAATAACGTTTTATCAAAAACAATATTCATAAAAGAAAATACCAATAACAAAAACCAAATAACAAAAAATACAACAATTGTTTAAAATTTAGGAGAGATGCCTTTCTCTAGTCGATCACCTCTTATCCCGAGCCGCTGCAAATTTTGATTGTTTTAATTGGGTGTTTAAACCCAATTTGAGACACCTCTCATAATAATACTACTCAAGGGGTCTTGTATCACTTTGGTTGTTGCTTTTTATTGTGTTGATGGATACTAACGAATTAATAAAACAGATACGAATGAAACAAACAGTATGAAATAAATTGATTTTTCGATTTTTTATTTAAATGATTATAATTTTTAATTAATCACTTATTAACCCTGAATATATAAAAAGGCTATTCAAAACTATTAAGTTTATAAATAATTATATTTTTAAAATAACATTTAAAAACAAAAAAATGTAATAACATTTTAATTTGTTTAAAAATAAAACATGAACAATTTGGTATTACAACATAAAATTATTATAATAGTGTCATATTGGATAACGTAAACATGTAAAGTCGTCCATTTTCATTATAGGTTGTCATAATATTTTCATAAAAAACAATAATTTACCACCTCAAAAATTCTTACGATACACACTGGACTGTTGAATACCATTTTCATGAATCCAAAGTTTAAGATATGATAAAGAAATAATCTTAATTCACAAGTATATTTTTTTACTTGTTGATTGATAATTCGAAAAGACTTTCCCATACAAAAAAAACATTTTCTATAAACAAGGTTTTTAACACTAATTATAATAGAAAATGTTCAAAATTTCACATTTTTACAAATTTGTATTTCCCGTTATTTAACGGTGTTTTGGCGCAATAAAATATAGAGAGAAAATAACAAAAATGTTGAAAAAAAGAAAAATGAAATTAGTTTAAATTGATTGGACAATTTTGTAAAGTTTCAGTTTTTTTCAAAGGGTTAAAATGATTGGTCGTCTTAAATTTGTGCACATTTATTACAACGGGAAGAAGACCTAATCATTAGGAGTTTTCACTAAAGGTTCAGATTCATTTCTAAAGTACCGGGTCTTTTTTCCCTACTGTATTATTATTATTATTATTTACAGTTAGTTCCATAAAAATTTACTAATGTCTCAAATTAATAATAAAATATACCAAAATAAATATAAATTGCACTTATTTTCAACTTTGTTTCAAAATAATATTAAATTGTATCATAATTAATGAAAATGTCTCAAATATTTAGTAAATTGTATCATAAATAAATAAAATGTCTCAAAATAATATTTTGTTTCAAATTATCGAAAAAATGTATCAAATAAATGAAAAATATATATCATAATTGTTATAAATTGTCTCATAATTTTGATAATTATTTCTAACATTATTGTTAATTACCAAATTTTTGTGTATTTAAACTGAATTTTTAATTAAAGATTGTATGTCAATCGACCATTTTGAATTCATTCATCAAGTTAATGTTAATCATTATCTCGACAGACCCCCTCTTCAAGAAAATATACCAATTGAAAAAGGTCTCATACCAATGAGACAAGAAGAGGAAATTATGGCTACAAGAACCATCATGATTGAAGAAAAGCATCACGAACAACAGTCGTCCAAGAAAAAAAGAATATATGTTAATATTACCGAATCACAGAGACAAAAAAATGATTGAACTTTATGCAGAGTTTGGGACGACAAAATCTGTTGACTTTTATCAACAAAAGACAAGAATCCAGACTCAGTCTTGTAGAAGACTTTTAAAAGAACTCTGTAGTGGCAGGAACATATCAAAGCCATCGAAAAGAGGAAGAAAACCTAAATATAGTCATGAGCTGTTAACGGAAATATCAAAACAACTTTCTATTGAAAAAAGTCTACGTGATTGTAAGAGAGATATCGCTGAGAAAAATATGCAGTCAATTTCAATTTCAACAATAAATCGATATATTCACAGCAAACAAATAATGGAAACGTGTTTATTACCACAACTATCATTTATTGAAATAACCAAAAGAGGACCCGGTGCAAATACACCAGAAAATAAAGAGTTGAGAGTCGAAAAGATGAGAAAATTAGACCAATTAATTATCTCGAGGTATTCAGTTGTATTTGTTGATGAAAGTCACTGGAGTGTTGGAAATGTGAGAACGAGGGCATGGGGACAACGAGGAAGAAAACATATCGTCGAAACGCCATTGATAACGTATAACTTAAGTTGCATTTGCGCCATATCAGATTCTGGAAATAAATATTGCAATTTATTCAACACGGTAGTTAACGGAGACATATTTAAAGTATATTTTCAGAATTAAATTGAAGCATTTACTTCAGATGGAAGTAGGATTGTTTTTGTTTTGGATAACGCAGCTATACACAGAGATAAAATTGTGGAAATCGCAAATGTAAAGGGGTGTGAAGTATTATATAACGCTCCTTATTCTCCGGAGTGTAATCCAATAGAAATGGTTTTCGGTATTTGGAAAAATAAAGTCGGGAAAATGGGAAGTGTTGATTTGAAAGATATGATCGAAACATAAGTTTATGTTTTAATGAAATTCCACCACATGAAATTAAAAAACAATTCAACATTTTTACTCTGTAGTTACTCCAAAAATATTTGCTCGTGAAGACCTTTAATTATTATTTTTAAATGTTTTTTTAATTATTATCAAAATTATGAGACAATTTATAACAATTATGATATATATTTTTCATTTATTTGATACATTTTTTCGATAATTTGAAACAAAATATTATTTTGAGACATTTTATTTATTTATGATACAATTTACTAAATATTTGAGACATTTTCATTAATTATGATACAATTTAATATTATTTTGAAACAAAGTTGAAAATAAGTGCAATTTATATTTATTTTGGTATATTTTATTATTAATTTGAGACATTAGTAAATTTTTATGGAACTAACTGTATATCAAAACAGTAATAATAATTCACACGATTTATTTCTCCATTCTGTACACCATCAAATGTTTTATTTCAAATTCCTTCATTCCTTTGTTACACAAACATTTTTCGCCTTCATACTCAAACGAATTACTTCCAACCTCACAAAACACTTTGTCGTGGTTCATTTTCGCCACTTTGATATCTCCATTTCCGACATCCAACAATTTAGTTGTGAATCTACTTTCAGCGCAAAATGCAAAGGACGCCCTTTTTTCTTTTATGTTGTATTTCCCACACTTCTTTTTCCCATTTTCTTTTAATGTGAAAACGAACGCTTCTTTGTCACCGAACGTGACATTCTCCGACGTGATACTTTTGAAGACAACGGCTCCAAACAAATTTCCATCATAATCTTCTATTGTGAGTATGAAACCATCACATTTCGATATTTTCTTGATAAGTCCGTTACTCCCGCGCACCGACAAGTCTTTAAAAACGTCGTAGATAATCGGTCCGACGTTTTGTCCGCTCCACGTTTGTAGTTGTTTTTTATCTTCACTGCTCAGATAATTTTCGTCATATTCAATTTGTTTTTTGAATTGCTGTGGCGTTTTCGAAATTGTCTTTTTTGATTGACTCACAACCGTTGGAGAGTTTTCTATTTTATCTGAACGGATCATATTCTGTGCCAACTCTGTTGATCGTATTGAGTCAAATGAGCTTTTCTGGTCTTTCAACAAGTTTGTTTCTCTTGCAATAGTGTTATTACCCATTGAAATCTCACCTTTTTTGTTTCTATCCTTTTCTTCTGAATTCGAAGATATTTTAGAATTAAAAATGTCACCCTGTGTGACATTTTCCATCTCTTGTAATGTTTTATGTGCTTCTGAATTGGCCTCAAAACGAAAGACTTTCGGTTCCTTTAAATCTTCATTATGAATATCTTTTGGAAATGTATTAGTTTTATCTTCTCCAATAATAATCATTTTTTGTGTCGTTTTTTTCCTCAATTTCTTTGGTTTTCCCAAATTTTTGTACTCCGATTGGGGTTGTCGTTTCCGGTATTTCCGTTTTGGTTTTTTATTTTCATTTTGTATATCGATACTTTCGTTTTGTTTCTTCTCATCATTTATTTGTTTTATAATTTCGGTGTTTTGAGTGTCGTCTTCAGTCTCTGAAAAGGAATCTTCTATTTCTAACATTTTGTTCTTCACTTTCTCTTCACTTTTTGTGTTTTGTACAAAAGTAATTGAGTTGTCATTTTTATTCTCTTTTTGTTGTTCATTTCCGTCTATTTTTGGTTTCACTTTTGTCATATAATTTTCATTTATTTTTTCATTCAATTTGTCGTTGTTAGAAATTTCATTGTTGCTCAAAAATGTGTTTTCTGTTTTTTGTTGATCAAAAAGAAGTTCACTCATTCTGATTTTTCCATTAAGTATCTTTTCCTTTTGACTGAACTCCATAAACATCTGCGCCTTTCGGAAAGAGTTTTTCTTAAGCTCTTCTTCAAATTGCATTTTCTCTTTTTGTATTAAAAGTGTGACTATTTGGTTTTTTGTTTCAACAATGTGTGCCCCATCTTCCAAACACTTTTTCTTGAGTTCATTGATGAAATAAGAAAGATCTGTAACCATTGCAGCAGTGATCCCTATCTCTTTGGAAAGTTCAAAACACTCTTCCTCACACTTCTCTGTACTTCCCACATATTTTTGAATTGTTGCAATTTGCTCGACAGGTGTTAAAGAATTGATCTCTGTAATTAACGTTTGTGGTGAAGGCAACACCATCTTAATGTGTGTGTCTATACACTTTTTAATAAATTCTAAACGCAAATTAATGTCAGGAGAATTTGTTTTAAAGAGAAAATAAATGTCTGGCTGCGCCATTGAGTTGTAAGTGTTTAATCTTTTCAGTTATTGTATTATTATTTTTTACGTTTAAACCCAAACAGAAAAGTAAATTATTTCTTGTTTGTTTAAATTATTTTATTGGTTTCATTTTAATATTATTTGTTATTAAAAGTTAATACAAAGCACTTTTGAGAAAACACAAAATAGTCAAATTGATAAAAATTAAATATTTTTAAAAAAGATTAAGGAATAAATGTGAACATTTTTTTTATTTTTTGTGTTATGTTAAAAAGTGTAAAATTTGTATAATGAACAATTTAATTCTTTAATTATTTAAATAAAAAATATCAATTTAACTCACAAATACAGAATTTTGGAATAAATAATATTCATGTTGAATCAATGAAATAGCACGCAAGCCAAACATTGATAATTACAACGTAAATATTTCTGTGATCAAATTTAAAGTATTTTTTTTGAAAGGAAAAAAATATTATATTTTTTGGCTGTTTATGCAATCTAATAGAAAACCAGTTTCATTAATAAATTTATTTTAATGTTTTACATATTAGAAGTATAATTAATATCAGTATTCTCACGTTTGAAAAATTAACAGTTCTTAACAAACATGATTTTACAGTTTTATTTTTCAATTTTTATTGGTACAGAATGTATGTATTTAAATTTTATATAAAATCCGATCAAACAACGATATATAAATGAACATTAAACATTGAATATTAAATATGTTATATCATTTAAATTAAAATATGCCATGTATTGGAGTAATTTATCTTTGTGTAAGGTTATATTTTATGTTAATATTTTTAGATAATGAATTATTATAATTGACATTATAATACATTAGCATTTTATTCACTTCATTTTAAAAACACCAATTTTAAATAACCATTAAAATCATCATCAGTCAATATATTTAATATCAGCGCCCAATACTTTAAACAACTTATCAATCATATTTGAATTAATAACAAAATTGACTTTTATATTTATTTGTACAACAGAATGCACTTTCAAAACTAATATTTAAATTGTTTATGTTTACAAGTAAGTTTTAAAACATTTCTAAAAACTCATTTTCTTTATTACGATGATAATAAAATCACACAAATAAAAACATTGGTACAAAAAAAATTTATTGATTTAGCCAATGATTATTCAACTTATTTTAATAATCATGTCAATAAAATCGATGTTTTGAATATAAAAACGACATTCTGTTGTGCTTGTGTTGATACTCATTAAAATCAATTGCAACTACTCAACGTTTGTTTTAAAATTGGTAATGATGATTCAGCAAATAAAAGAATGTGTAATTAAATATTTTAAACAAATTGTTTTGTCAATTTTATAGTCGGTACAACACAATACAACAATCAAAAACTTAAATGCAGCATTTCAAATCGGTTGATTTATAACAACAAATTTGGACACTTGAACATCGTAGAAAAACAAACAAAACAGAATAATTTATAAAAGGGATTGCGACATGATCTACTCATGAATTGAATCAATCTCCATGTGTAGGAATAAATATGAAAATCAACAGAAATTAATTACGGTTGTAATTTATACATGTAAGGTGAACTAAATTGTAATTTAATTCCAAATAAAGGCGTCTCGATATCTTAATTGAATTCTTATTATGCTCGATAGTTACATAAAATTTAATGGATATAAATATAGAAACTAATAACAAACAGTTGTTTATAATAAAATATAGTTAATCTTATTAAGACGGACTTTTTTTCATTGACTATACAATCAAAGGCATCGATTAGTCGTAAATGAGTAATTTTTGTAGAAAATTCTATTTAATATTGAAATTTATTTTTTGTTAAATATTTAGTTTTTAATTCAACAAAAGTAACAAGTTCAAAAACAAAATATTTAATTGTCGTACACCAAAATTATTGGCCAATTGTGCGACAATTAAGCAAGTTTGACAATTATAATTATGTCAAATAGACGCCTTTGACTTTAATTAAAAAAACATTTCAATAACAAAATTTTAAAAATAAAATAATAATACAGTCGATACTCTATCGGATTGGAATGATGGGAAAATGGTTTTTCCCAAGGATTGGAAAATAAAAAGAAAATTTTATTTTTAATTTCTATATTTTTTGGCATTATTTATTTCTTTTGACAAAAACACAATTTAAAAACGTACAGTGAAAATACGTTTGAAAATGATGGGAAAATAGTTTAAAAATGACAGATTTTATTTTAAAAGGACAAGATTTTTAATAAAAAGGATGAAAATCATAAAAAGTGATGGAGATTTGTTTTAAAAAGGACATGTATTTTTATTGAAAAGGACAGGATTTTTGATAAAAAAACGAATTTCGAAAGAAATGATGATTTTCATGAAAAGGACAGGAATTTATTATAAAAAGGATGGGATTTGTTAAAAGGATGGATTTCAAGAAAATGTGACAGCCATTTTTTGAAAAAGGATAACATTTTTAACAAAAAGGATCGATTTTTAATAAAATATAATGTATTTCCGAATTTTCCCGATTTTACACATAAAACAAAAACAATTAAAATACCATAAACGTGTTTCAAAAATAGGAATATGAATCAATAATCAAATTAAAATAAAAAAAGATTTACATTATTTTGATCTAAAATCTTAATAACTGATTTAAATGTCAAAGTCTTTGACATTCATCGACGCAATAGACCCAATAGCTAGGAATGATTTTATTGAAAATCCACCATCTATTCAGCGGAATGAACAACGGCACCAGGTTGAATCAAAAACACATTTCATTCTTCCCCAATCGACCAAAAGAAAAAGGGGAAGATACAAAAGTCGGTCAGAATCAATAAACCAAGCCAAAAGACCTTATCACAAAGTAACGATACAAAACAAATTCAATATGATTAAATTTTTCATAGTTAATGTGGACACTAAAGATGATGTGTTTTACAGTGGAGAACTTGGTATTAAAATCAAGGCTATCAAAAATATGTTAGTCAAATTAAAGTAATGAAAAGGTCTTCAATATATATTTCATGGAATTGATGAAACATTATGACGACAACAACATTTCAGCAGTGTTTCGGTGTGACAATTGTACTATACACAACCATTTGAGAGAACTCGTAACTAACACTCGTCATTCAGTTGTTTATAATACAGCTTACAGTCCTGAACTCAACCCAATCGAAACTGTTTTGGGGGTTTGGAAAAGGCGTGTAGAAAATGACATATGTATTTGGACTGGCCTTGGCGATCTTCTTGAAAAAAATAAAAATGGATTTAATTTAACCAGCTGAAGTAATAGCGTCGATGGAGAGATGTCGCAATGAAATTTGGGCAAAAGCATATAAAAAAGACTTGTAATTTTAATTTGTTTTTGTTTTATGTGTAAAATCGGGAAAATTCGGAAATACATTATATTTTATTAAAAATCGATCCTTTTTGTTAAAAATGTTATCCTTTTTCAAAAAATGGCTGTCACATTTTCTTGAAATCCATCCTTTTAACAAATCCCATCCTTTTTATAATAAATTCCTGTCCTTTTCATGAAAATCATCATTTCTTTCGAAATTCGTTTTTTTATCAAAAATCCTGTCCTTTTCAATAAAAATACATGTCCTTTTTAAAACAAATCTCCATCACTTTTTATGATTTTCATCCTTTTTATTAAAAATCTTGTCCTTTTAAAATAAAATCTGTCATTTTTAAACTATTTTCCCATCATTTTCAAACGTATTTTCACTGTAAAATGAATATTTTAACAGAACATTAATAAGAGACACGTGTAAACATATGAAATTATTTGTCATTATTCATATTTTAATTTGTATGTTAAAAACACATAAACAACATGATGGATTTATTATTGTAGTATCTATTACAATACTTAATATCTTAAAACAAAAAAAGATTCTCGATATTAAGCAGATAAAAAACAGATACAGTCTGTCTTTAAACGTTATCTGGTACCTTTTGAAACATAAAGATTGGCATATTTTAGGAAGCCGTCTTTAAAATCCATCTCAATCGTTTTGGTTTTTTTTATCACTTTTTATCTAATGCTTAATGTTTTGACAAAATTAAAGCTATCTTATGTCCACCAGATGACGTTAAAAGACTGACTATATTAGAAATTGCGAATAGATATAATTGTGGTTTAAATGCTTATTTTGTAATATGTAATAATTGTGATTATTTTAATAAAAACTTGTGTTCAACTTATTAGTGAACACTAAATTGTTCACCAAGTTTTATATTATTATTATAATAAATCTGTTTTAAGCTATTATTATATTTTATTGTTATAATTTTGGTTTTACTATTTTGACAAATCAAATGCATTTATCACCAAAAAATTACTTGTTTATATAGATTGCCAAATTCTTGATTTCAATACTATTAAGTTGGATTTTTTTGTTCACAAAACCAAAAAAGTAAAAAAGAAAATAAGATTGTATTACGCTATTAAGTACTAATTATACGGGTTTTATATTTATAAAATCGGATTGGAACAAATTTTGATTGGATATAAAACCAAATCCAATAGAATACCAATCCGATAGAGTATCGACTGTACTAATTAAATTAAAACAAATTGATTCAAAGATATTTAAACATAATATAAGACGTGTAAAACGACAATTATTTATCATTTTATTTAATAATTTAAGATGGTTAAAAAGATTTAAATAAAATTAATAACTGAGTTGTGAAATTAAATTTAATCAACACTTTTGTTTAAAAATCTTAATATCTTTTGTTATTCCTTTTCAAAAGGGAATCTTTCTGGTAAAAGACTTCCCAGCCAGTCAAGCGCATATTTAATTTCTTTAGTTGCTTCATTTTCGTTTCTCCAGTCTAATTCGTCATTCAAACAAATTGAATATGGTTCATAATGTTTTATGATCATCATATTTCGAACATTATTGCGGTGTTCGTTACTCAATCCCCCATAAAAGCTATTATCCGACTCTTTGACGTAATTTCCAAGCTCCAAATTCTTGAGGTAGTGCATTGAAAAATATGGTATATTTATCGAAGTAACTTCCTCACTCTATTATTCGCGTTTCGATATCCTCGTGAATCC